GGCATATTTTATTTTACAAGCTTTGTATTTGCATATTTGACATGCAAAGGAGATAGCATTGTTAGAAATATTGCGAGCCTATCGAAGGAGCTTTTCGAACGCAGCGATTTTACGAGCTAATGTCCTCTGCACGCAGACTGGTGTTTCCAGTGAAAATACTTGGATGCAGTAAGGTTGTCGTCATTCGAGCGAAAACATGATGTTGACGGTGATTTTACGTTGATTTCGCCGCATTGTGTGTCGAAATCGGTCGATACAGAATTTGTAAAATATTCTGTTTGTCAAATTCTGTTTGATATTGAGTTTGGCGTATTGGGAAAGCGACCACAGCGACGTGAAAATGAGTGACGAGGCCTGTGAGTATAGATGGTGGAGGGTGCTGCAGTCGGTAGATAGTGCGTAGAGTAGTGTAAGGATGCTGTAGAATAGTCTATATTGTACTTGCGTTGTGCGGTACGGCATGAATGTATACAATTGTATCAAACGGGAATTAGCTCAGTGGTAGAGCGCTGGATTCCAGTCCCAGCGGCCGGGGGTTCAACTCCCTCATTCCTCACTATTTTTATCTTCTCAATCTCTTTTCTTGTATCGTTTCTTTTTTCGTCCCCAGTACTCTACGTACAACTACAACACCATATATCCATCCTTCATACACTTTCTTACTTGTCAGAACTTATCCCATTTCTACAAGCCTTTTTGACGCAGTTCAGTCCCTTGTATCGGAGCAATTGTACGCGCCTCTTCACGAAATATTTTTCGTACAATAGAAACAACTCCTCGCCATCCAAGAGACTGATAGAGATGTACTTTTTCCATGCAGTCGGGTCTCTTTTAATATTTAAATAGAATTTACTGTCAATATTGGGTGTTTTTCATGCACACTGGTCTTTTACAATATTTTATTTTACAAGCTTCGTATTTGGATATTTGACATGCAAAGGAGATAGCATTGTTAGAAATATTGCGAGCCTATCGAAGGAGCTTTCGCACGCTAATTTTTGACCCTAGCTAATGTCCTATACACGCAGGCTGGTGTTTCCAGTAAAAATACTTGGATGCAGTAAGGTTGTCGTCATTCGAGCGAAAACATGATGTTGACGGTGATTTTACGTTGGTTTCACCGCATTGTGTGTCGAAATCGGTCGATACAGAATTTGTGAAAATATTCTGTTTGTCAAATTCTGTTTGATATTGAGTTTGGCGTATTGGGAAAGCGACCACAGCGACGTGAAAATGAGTGACGAGGCCTGTGAGTATAGATGGTGGAGGGTGCTGCAGTCGGTAGATAGTGCGTAGAGTAGTGTAAGGATGCTGTAGAATAGTCTATATTGTACTTGCGTTGTGCGGTACGGCATGAATGTATACAATAGTATCAAAACGGGGAATTAGCTCAGTGGTAGAGCGCTGGATTCCAGTCCCAGCGGCCGGGGGTTCAACTCCCTCATTCCTCACATTTTTATCTTCTCGATCTCTTTTCTTGTATCGCTTCTTTTTTCGTCCCCAGCACTCTATGTACGACTACAACACCATCTATCCATCCTTCATGCACTTTCTTACTTGTCAGAAATTATACCATTTCTACAAGCCTTTTTGACGCAGTTCAGTCCCTTGTATCGGAGCAATTGTACGCGCTTCTTCACGAAATATTTTTCGTACAATAGAAACAACTCCTCGCCATCCAAGAGACTGATAGAGATGTACTTTTTCCATGCAGTCGGGTCTCTTTTAATATTTAAATAGAATTTACTGTCAATAATGGGCGTTTTTCATGCACACTGGTCTTTTACAATATTTTATTTTACAAGCTTCGTATTTGGATATTTGACATGCAAAGGAGATAGCATTGTTAGAAATATTGCGAGCCTATCGAAGGAGCTTTCGCACGCTAAATTCTTATCCCAAGGCTAACGTGATGCAGGCAGCAAATCTTTCCCGCCTTCGTCACCCTACCGGGACCGTTTATGAGATGCTCACTGTATATATATATATATATGAACGTGTTCCGCGTTACCTTCCTTACAAAGAGTAGATGCTCACTGTAGACATAAAATCTTTAAGCTCCTCCTCTAATTTCCCTGATAGCACATTTACGCAATGAGCACGATGTAAATCGTCGGCGCCATCGTCTTCCCATAAGTGGGCACTCGTAGAGCCAAGACTGTATTCTGTCACTGCGCGACCTCAACGCGGCCGTGTCGTCGGCGTCAAGCGCTTCTACCGTGAATGCCTTGTCTGTCATCCGCGCTTAATTAGCGGCGTCTGTTGCGACCAAGGGAATAATCTTATTTTCTTGGTTGCAACTGCCTGCTCCAGCTTCCTCCACCAATCGACACAAGATACGTTGGCGTAGTTTTTAGTTTGGATTAGATACAATACATCGATAAATGTATCTCTTATCGTTCTTGTGAGTGCGCACGCACGCATGCAACTACGGCGCATGGAGCATCCCTGCTGCATTGGCGACAGCTCTTGGCGACCGCCAACCTTGCTGCAATCTCCAAAATCATCTCATTTTAGCCAATCACTATGCAGAAAAATGTAGGCCCAGAATCTGTCCCCGTGGCAAGTGCATAGAAGAGGAGAGTAAGTTTCGTGTTAAACGGCCGTCGCCGCCCATGGAAGAGCTGGTAGATGGATTCAAATGAGTTGCTAAGCAGAGCGCGCTGCTTGAACTCGACGTGGCGGTACTGTCGTTGTTTGCTGTTGGGGCCATCTGTGTCTTAACGAGCGGCTGTTTGTCTTTGAAAGGTCTGACCGTCCGATCTCTCCTACCGATGCCTCGTCTGTGGCCCACTCACTATTACCACCGCACCCACAGTATGTGGGTGCGGTGTGGTGGTAGTCATGAGTGGTAGTGTTCATATACGACGATCCTGAATGGAGCCGCACAGCGATGAGCAAAGAAGGCAGATGTACGTTGTTTGATCGCTTGGTGCCGGATCCTTCCGGGAACAATATTTTCCTTTAGTTTCCCCCACTCAGTTCACCCCGCAAAGTGGCGCGCACGTAGCGTTAGGGAATAATCCCATCGTGTTTGATGGAAAATACTGGACGAGGTTGTTTCTCCGACAGTACGACGACTTGGCTGCCGAGCGTTGTCGGGACGAAATGTGATGATGAAAAGGCTCGACTTGGACGAGAAAAATGTGGACCTCATCATCTTGACGCAGCATGTTTTGAATGTGGCGGCGCGTTGGGCTTTGTTTTCGTTGGCAGCAGCGTAATTCTATAGCTCATTCTATACGATGGGATTGGTTGACGAGCCAACGCTTCGCAATATTTGGATTGGTGGATAGGTACGATGGATCAAGGCACCAAAAACGCTTCTGCTTTAACAGATTTCTACACTGCATGTATACTCTGCACTTGGCTTCGTGGTCGCGCGATTAGCAAAAACGAGTTCCTGGCATCATCTACGAGCCCACTTTGCCAAAGCGACGCTTCAGATCTGGCCTGACTCTGGCCGTGAGTATGCTCAAACCCTAAACACGTGGCACTCGGCTGGAGCGGCTGGACATCTCGAACCCAATCGATGTCAGTCACCGCGAGATGCTATTATAATAATAGGTCATCGTACAGCCTATGCCTACCCTGCGTGCAACTCATGCGATGAACTTTCTACATGTGGCTGCGCGACCTCAAGTACGCTTGACTGGCCTAGTCTGACTGAGCAATAATTGTGTTGCCGTGCACCGAAGGAATATTAATCATTCAACCCTCTTCCATTGCGTGATGCATGCTCTGGACATGGATGGTGGAGGCGCTCCCTTATGTTTGTGGTACATGCAGGCTGCCACATGCATGCAACCGAGTAAAGACTAGCCTTCGCCGTCTCTCTTGCGCCCCACATCCACATGGTCGTCTCGTAGCACATATATACCAACTGAAAAACGTCTGCAACTACCA